AATATAAAAATAATTTGAAAGGAAATTGCAAAATGACGTGCAAATTAAAAAATAAGAATTTCAAATAGAAATTTAATAAGATAAGTTAAAGTAAAAATTAATTTTTTCTAGAATTATGTTCTAATTAGTTAAGTGAAACTAAAAATAGTAAATGGGTTGTAACATATATAAAAAAATTGTTTACTACAATTTTCTTAAAAACAAAGAACACAAAAATAATTTCTTTCATTTCCAAATACATCCTGAAAGTTTCATTAAAATGCAACAATTTGATTTTTGCAAGAATTTCCGAATCAATGTTTCTTACCTGAAAAATAGGCACAAAAACGCTAATGTAAATATGAACCAGGTTGTCGACTTAACAAACAAGATTTTACCAAAATTTTGAATGTGCTAGAAAGGATTAAAAATTGAATAAAGTAATCAAAAAATACTTTGTCTTTCCTTTTAATAATAACAAATATATTAACAATAAAAATGTGTTTTTATTAAGTTTTTGTCATTTTTTCATCATGCTAAAATGTTTCTTTTTTTGGAAAAATTTTAAAATACATCCAAAAAAAAATACAAGATAATATATATACAAAACACAAAAAAAAAATTGATGAAAATGGACTGTTATAGGTATCATCCATTGCTGCTCCTAAAATGCTTTTGTGAGGGTTAGGTTGTTTCTTTGAAAATGCTTCAGATATGTGGTGATGGCAAGAGGGAAATGTTATTGGATAAAATTTCCTCAAATCTGATCAAAATACAGATCAGTACTGAAGGGATGTAATGGATAAGACAAACTATGTTCACAACTAAGGAAGGAAGGAACAAGCATAATTATAAGATGTATCTCATATTTTTGACCAAGGAGTATGTTCATCACTAGTCAGTTGAAATTTTAAACCTCTTCACTAATCAGCTTTTCAAAAATAAACTTTTAAAGTTTACTGTTATTGCTCTTTTCAGTATTGATCATTGTTTCATAGTTGACCCTTTGTTTATTGTATTTGTTTTTATCTTGATTAACATTTTAGTATTCAAACTATTAAACTTGCCATCAAGATATTGAGATTTTAAATTTTTCTTTTGTATACTTTTTGCAGTGAAAAAATGATATTAATACCTTATAACATACACCTTCATTGTTCAAGGTTGAAAATTGAGGGCTAATATTTATGAGCCAGATTTTTAAGCAATGCTAAAAGTTAAATCATTTTTTCCATTCCTAGTTATATGTTTTACCACATTTTTTTTTTTACTTTAAGTCTTCCAGTGATTGTGTTTTTACCTCTTTTACTAAAAACTTTTTTATTTGCTTGATTTTTTAAAGGATATGATGGGACTAAAAAGCTTTTAGTTTTAAAGGAAAATTAAAATTGTTTTAATCATTAATCTGAGAAGAGTCAAATATATAAAGACTAATAGATTAGATACATTTTGAGGACATTACTATTCATCACACACACCACAGTTTAGAATTCCTGGTTTTATAAAACATTTTTTTAGTTATCTGAAAACTGTTTAGGTTTAATTTTGATTTTGGTACTTTAACATTAACTATTTATATTCATCAAAATTGTTTAATATTTAACCAATCTTGTGTCAAAATTTTGCAATTTCATATACATAAATTTGTTATAAATGACCAAGGTCCATTTGAAGTGTTTTGAATTTATTCATTCCAATTTCTCAATTTTTATTATATATTCTAAGTATGTGTCATAACTACTTTCATTCCAATCAGATAAGTTAGTATTTTTTGGAAAGGTTTATCTCAAGCTCTATTTCTTGGGACACTTAGTAGGGAATGTTGATTTTATGTTCAGGATCATTCTTATCCCAGCTATTAATACCTATGTCAACAGCATAGCCCCCCCCCACTACCACCACCATCATCATCAACAGTACATTGGCTTTGGAGGGTGGATAATTGACTTTTATTGGTAGATTAGTTTAGGATGTGGTATAGAATGCTTAAAGATCAGTGCTCATCTCCTCACATCTGAGTCTGTAAATGTGCAGGACATTGTCTAGGAAAAGGGGCTCTCATTTCCTCCTTGTCACTTTCTGATGGATGAAAAATGAAGTTGCTATTGATGTTGTCATACAGTGCTTTAAAGTCAACATAGGTATACAATTTTCTGTTAGAGAGCTATGCAATTTCCCAGAGTTGTTTGCTGACATATATGCCATTATTACATTCCTTACTAGAACAAAAATCAAAGTGGGTCATGAGGAGTTGACTTTCATAAAATGATGATAGCCTAGTTAATTAATGTTCCTTAATACTTTCACCATAATGGATCCAATTGAGATATATCTCTATATGTGAAGTTTATTAAGGACTACCTCTTTGTTTCTATAGTCTATTACCATCCTGAGTAAGATAATAAGCTACATCTGATAGCAAGGCAGTAGGCTTTGAGGAACATGGAACCACCTCTTAATTGCTGATGTTCCCAAATCCACCCTGACCTAGGGTGGTAGCAATTGTCGAGGTCCCAGGTATAGTTAACACCCCAAAAGGGGTCAAAACACTATGAAAGTATAAAAATAGATTTTAATACCAGTAATACTTTGTAAAATTATTACCAGCAATACATTTTTGGGAAAAAAATATTACCAGCAATAAAAATCTTGTCAGCATTAAATAACCTATTGAGGTTGATATGCTGTAAAACAACCAAACCGTAGTCTAATAATGCACAATAATCTCTACATTTTGGTGATTTGCTTCTAAAATTGAGAAAATTGTTATTGAATTCAAGGAGAAAGTAAGCTATTTTCAAAAGTTCAGTTTAACGCCAAATGATGCTTTATTCTTTATTTTTTAATAACTTAATTTCCTGTAGCAGAACTGAAAGGCAGCAGTCTGTGGGTTCTGCTGAACTGACTACAGTTTGCCGTTCTAAGTGGCAACAAGTGGCATGTGTAATATGTAAGCAAAATAGTGAATGCTTACACAAATGTATTAACAGTCTCTGGAAAAAATCAAATACTGAATGAACGAGGAAAGAAAAAGAATGGCCTACCTTGAAAAATCCACGAATCTGTGCGTAATGTAAAAGTCCGGTTTTTTCGACAGCAAAAAAGAATCAAAATATTCCGGCGCCCATGTTTTATGACAGGTGGTCTCGGACGACTAACATAAAATCTTGGTTGGTAGTGATTAAATTATATAAATTATGGTGGGTCCTCGGCTGTATAAATGGGCCGTCTTTTGGGGAGACAGAGGCGGTCTTGTTGGCATAGAAGTGAAGGCTGGGTGTGTGACCCAATTTTGCCATCTCTATTGGCCTGTTGGATTATTCGTCGGACAGTTGTTGAACTGGATTTTGGCTACAAGTGTTGCGGTTGAGAGACATCTGTTGCAGACTTATTCCTACCGGAAATTGATACTCATTATTTGTTTTCTTTTGCTTTTTCTTTTCTTTACCAACACATTTTCTCATCAGTAGATTCATTGTTTATGTTTAGGGACAGACTTTGTTATGATTGGATGGATATATATTGGTATATGTTCTATTTCTGCAGGCATTTTTAGTTTAGTGTGGTCAGGGTTGAAATGTGATTCAAATGGTTTTTTGAAACCAAGACATTTATTTTGTGGTGGTTTTGATTGTATGATATTATTTTTCTTAACGCATTGTTGATGCTGCTTGACTTCATTAATTTAATTTACAATTTTCCAGAGATATTGGTTTCTCAAAGAGTTAATTAATTTTTTTTTTATTTTCTTTATTAATTGTTTAGTATATTCTCTTCCATTTTTCCCTCTTTTGTGTTTCTTTCTTATATCAATTTTTTTCAATTCTGGTTTGTCCTCTTATAGGTATCTTTTTAGTTTTCGGTATTCATGAAATAGTCTCAGCTAATGAAGACATTCCTCTCTGTTGTTTTGATAAAGATTTGTTGATATCAATTTGAACTCTGTTACTGAATTCTAAATTTACTCTTTCATTTTTAAGGGCTTAGATGTTATACCTACGGTTTTTTGTGGTTTATGTGGACAGAAGCAATCTATTTTGTTGCCTGGTGTTGTCAGTGTTGTTACAAGTAATTTGATCACATTCAAAGTAGGAATTGTATACTCTAACATCTGTTACAAACTTCCTAATCAAAACGTCTGAGATGCTGAAGTCAATAATCTTTTTTGTTATGTTATCTGGGCTGTCTTGTGATGCATTGTTTCATGTGATGGTTAGACCATGTGTTAAGAATGGAGTTCTTCATTGCTGTTTATCTTCTGTTTCAAAGGTTGAAGTTTTCTTACCCTCAAATGAGTAGTGACTTTCAGAAATACTTGATGTAACATTAAAATCCCCATTAATACACAGATTTTTCTGTTTTTTTTTTCTTCTCTAATATACAAAGTTTACTTAATCCTTTTTCTGAAACAACACTCTGATATCACTCAGCTCTTACAGTCATTAACAAAAATGTCAACAACTATCAGTCTTTCTGACTGGTGTCAATATTGTCTATTACAATATGTGGTGATTTGCATATTTCTATTCCAACTCGATGTTGTTTTTTTTCTCCTTGTGGCCAATCTAAAATGTATCCAAAATGCACAATGGAGTCACAACCAAGTCGATGCACCTCTTACAGATGTCAAGGTTTGCTTTCTTGTCTTCTTCTAAAAAGAAGTGCACTCTGAAATCATCTGGATGTTGATTTATCCTATTTTTCACTTGAACATTTTAAATTTGAGTTTTTTAGTTGGTGTTAAGTGACTGACTAGACCTTTCCAAATTTAATTATAGATATATTTTGATTCTTTTATCTTTTGTGATTATATGAACATTTGTAAAATCAGTTGGTAATTTCCTTGGTTTAATGTTCTAGAAAATTGCACCATAGAAGCAAATTTATCTGAATAATATATTTTTTTTCTTGATAACAAATTTAAAGCTGTTAGTGTTGTCCAAAGTAAATTTCAAAAAATCTTCTTTCAAACTTCAATATTTAAGAAGCTTATGATTTATTAATTTGCAAAATCTTTTTAGAAAACTGCCTCAGATCACCGTCGGAAGTGGGACCGTGAAGAATATGAAAGACTTGCAGCTGAAAGGTTGGAAGCTGAGCAGATGTCTCAGCTGGAGAAGAATCTTAAAGAACCTCCAATTAAAAGAGCTTTACTCCAACCCCGTGACTACAGGGTAAGAACTTTAATATATTCAATTTTGTTTTCTTTTTAATTAACAAGCTTGAATGCTTATGGCCTGTTCAGTATTTTAACACATATAAGAAAATAAAAAAAAATTCTGTGAAAAAATATTGATAAAAAAACATTTTGAAATCGATTAGTGTCCATTGATTTGAGTCTCACAAACAACTGAAGCCATGAAATCAGTTTCATTATCCAAACTGAAAGCAAAAACTCATTGCTAATATTTTAAAAATTGATATTTTCCCATCTTTGAAACTTACACCAATTCAGTTTTTCTAAAAACTTACAAAACTTCAACTGTAACATTAATGATCGGCAATTACAGAGATGATTTGTATCTAAGTTTAGTTTTATTTTTGTAACTGAAGATTGGAAGAGATCCTTAGGAAACTTAGTAATTTTGTTCAAATTTGGTCTGATCAGAAATGATAAATTCTATGATGTGTTCAGATAATTGAACTGTGGTGAACAGCCCGTAGAAACAAGCGAGCCAGAGTGGCTTGCATCTGGTGTAGGGAAAATAAGGTCTTAAACTTGTTAACGTGCAACACGTGACATCAGCATGTTTGCTTGGGTGAAAATGGCATTACTCTCCCGTCCAGCCATTCTAAAAGTATGTGCAAGGCTGAGGGTTTTTTGTCTGATTTGAATGTTTCCACCAATAGCAATTTGTGCTGATTGGTCGGAACTGGATTAAAGGCAATTTGCCTGTAACCAAGAATAACAGCAAGAACGCTGATTGGCTGGGGAACATGGTGTTGGCCTGATAAAAAGTGCTGGAGCCATGAAAAGGGACAGAAAATTTGGCTAGATCGTAGTAGCGTGTGAAAAGCAAGGACGGTGAATTGAACCAGCGATATTGTGATTTGTACAAGTGACTGCTGGGAGAGCAGTAGACTTATTTAATCTACATGAACTCATTCTTGTTGTTGATTTTGTTCAATGTGTTGGCCAAACCAATCTACAGCCTTCATGTGTATAATCTGTAAAGAAGGAAAGGATTATTATCATTGAGAGAATTGTCCAGACTACCAAATCATTTTGTGTTGCTTTTGTTTTTACTCTGATGGATACTGAAATGTTCTTACCCTGACCCATTTCCCAAAATTAGTATTTTTATGTTTTGTTATTGAAATACTGATTTTGGAAAGTGGGTTGAGTCAAGAACTTTTCAGCACTTACCTGTATAAAGTTTCAGCCTGTTGATAATCAGAATAACTGTTGGAATGATAATGACTCTTCTCAAAATTATAGACAGTGCATAAAATTAAAGACACCAAATTTTTAACCATGTTACCAAACAAATTTTTGTACATACTCAATGATTTTAAAATAATCCTTTAATTTTTTTTTGTTTTTAATTTCCCTTTTTTACTTGACATTTAATTTTTAAACATATAAATAATTTTGCCTTTGTTTTTTAAAGTGCCAAACATCCTGAAAATTGATCAATGTTTCTGATGAATTTTATTCTTTCACTTTGACATTGTGAAAATGACATTTCCAAATGTATTTATGAGTCCTCTAGATTTTCCTAAGATTATGCTGTATAAATAGATGCTCAGGAACTCTCTAAGACAATTGACATTTTCTTTGCTTTATGTAAACAAAGTGTGTGCATATATATATATATTTCTGATAATATTTTCATAGGTAGATCTTGAGTCAAAATTGGGTAAATCAATGGTCATAACCAAAACAACACCTGCATCTCAGCAAGGAGGGTAAGTTGTTTATTTATCATATAAATACATTATTTAGAATAATTATTTAAAAATTGTTAGAAAAAATAAAAAACTCAATTATTTATTTTTTATAAAACTTCACTTTCTTACCTGTTTCAAAATTTGTTAAAAGTAAGTAAACATTTAAATTAAATTTTAGTCAACTATTTAAATTCTTAACATATTTTCATCTATTTAGAATAAAAGCTTGCAAAATGGAACAGATTATTTAATATTTGTTATAAATTTTATCCTATGTTCATAATTGCTCTACATTTATATTGAGAAAAACAGGATATTTTTTAATTAACAATCATTGATTTTTTTTTTGTCATCAGTCTATTTTCTTTCTCTTTACAGCTATTATTGCAATGTATGTGATTGTGTTGTCAAAGATTCAATTAATTTCTTAGATCATATCAATGGAAAAAAACGTAAGTTTCTATATTTTATTTTACCAAACATATCAAACAACCAAGAAGTTATTTTGCTGTTGTTTTTTGAGAAGTGAACAACATATTTAATGTTCTTTTGCTTTCACATTTGGATAGAACAGGATTTGCTAACAATGTAGATATTCAACCTTTAAAAAACAAAAGACCCCAAAACCTGACCAAGCACTTGAATTTATTTAGTTCTTTTGCTAATTACAAAAAAAAGTTACTCGGCATTCAAAAAGCAGAGACTTAATGAAAATTAATTTCATGTTAAACTGAAACATTTTCATAAATGTTTCTTTGAAATTGTTATATTTGGCCTATACAAAATGTAATGATATTTCATCTTAAATTCTTGATTGTCTCTTTAGACCAAGATGTCAGTATTTCATCCTGAATATCTGATTATCTATCTTGAAGATGTAATTCTGCACAAAGAAACATGTCTTAATGTTTGATATTTCAGGTGAGGAGAACATCTGAAAGCTCAGATAAAAGCCAATAAAAGCTTCACTATTGTGCAATACATAAAGTAATCAAAACAGTCCACAATAAGTCTGCTAATGTCTGTCCATTTTCTATTGACCAGTTATAGGTCTCTCTTCACTGTCTGTAACCAGTTCATAATTCTTTGGCTTATTGGCATTTATTTAATGAATTGATTTGTGGAAAACCGTAAGACATCTCTTAACTAGCAAAGATACTATCTATCAGGTCATCCCATAAGTTCTGTCCGAATTTTGAATAAAGAAAACAAGTGACCAAATGTTACATTTAATTACAGATTCAATCAACAATGTATTTTCCCTGATTATCTATGACTTCCTTCTATCTATTAACAAGCTTACTAATTCCATTATTGTAAAATTCTTTTGGCTTTGATTCGAAGAACTCACAAATGTCAGTTTTAACCTCTTCCTGTGTTACAAAAGCTGTTTCTTCCAAATGATTCTGTAAGCTACAAAACAAATGGTAGTCTGAAGGAGTAAGATCGGGAGAATAAGGTGGATGAGGAATTTTCTCCCAACCAAGTTCTTCGATCTTTTGTGATGTGATTCTTGCTGCGTGGGGTCGCACATTGTCCTGATGAAACATCACCCCTTTTCGATTCACTAGAGCAGGCCTTTTTTTCCTCAAAGCTTGGTTCAAACGCTCTAATTGCTGACAGTATATTTGAGCATTAATTGTTGCATTAGGTGGTAAGAATTCAAAGTGGATTATTCCTTGGTGATCCCACCAGATTGAAAGAAGAAACTTTTGCCCATGAAGTTCCCTTCTTGGCTGTGGTTGGGGTCCTTCCCCTTTACCAAGCCACTGTCTACAATGCTTAACATTTCGATAAAAGATCCATTTTTTTGTCACAAGTCTGTCCAAAAAAGGTGAAACAAGTTGGCGAGAATGGAGAGAAGAGCAGATGTCAACTCAGGATTTGAGGTTGTTTTCAGACAATTCATGAGGCACCCATTTTCCAAGTTTAGGAACTTTTCCAAGTTGTTGAAGATGACGATGAACACTTGTATGGTTTGAACTGAGAACCACTGCCAATTCCTCAACTGATAAAGCAGGATTTTCTTCAAGGGCTGCTTCAAGAAGCTTTTCATCAAACTCAACTGGATGTCCGGTTCGATCTTCATCTTCAAGGGTGAAATCTCTACCTCTGAATTTTGCAAACCATCTTCTGCAAGTTCTTTCATTCACACATTCCTCTCCATAAACTGAGTGAATGTTTCTAGCCACTTCGGCTGCTGAGTTTCCTTTCTTGAACTCATAAAGCATTATGTGCCTCAAATGATTCTTGAGTACTTCCATGTTAGCAGAGTTTTAATCAAACAAAATTTAATTTTGTTCTCTGAAATAAAATTTGATCAGTTTAAATGCATCTAAACATAAAAATAATGTTCAGCTTCAGTAGACATTATAAAATACTCTTTAAATTTCATTCATTTTAAAAAAGGTAAAATTCGGACAGAACTTATGGGATGACCTGATACAAATAATTTTTGACACTAGGGAACTGTTACCATTTATGTCTGACCTCTTCAATTGATATATGATTGCTTTTTATAAGCATCTAGAATCTTCTCTTGAGTTGTCTTAAGTTGCCAAATTTTGTAGTCATAGTGCACTGTGGATACCTTCTCCAAATTACAGGACCTCAATTTCATTGTAAGATAAAAATTCCTATTGTTGCACACTTTACTGAACAGGTTGAATGTTGTTGCTTTTCCGATCTCGAATTTCAGTTCAAAATCAGGATCAAAATAATCTTTACTGATAGAACTGAAAAGGTGTGTGAAGTTCTGTTTCCTCAACCTGTTTCTGGTTAATGATGACATTTATTGTATTGATACATGATGTTCCATGCTCAACATGTTCTTTTTTTTTTTTTTTTTTTTTACACAAATGTGGAGACCAATATTTCTTATATAATTGCTGATACAATACACCAGCAACTGAAGATATTGAATGTTACTTGCCATATGTCATCAGCAAAATTTAAATCAGAAAGATTTTTTCAGTCCTTAAGTTGTGTTGTTTACTAAATTTCTATTCAAAGACAAAACATTTGCTTCTCAGAATTTCATATTTAGATTATTTCTTTTGAACAAAAACAATTTGGAATGTATTAGCACTTTCAAAATTGTAGACATAAAATCTCAATAATGTTCCTTTTACAGATCAACGCAATTTGGGTATGTCTATGAGAATTGAAAGGTCATCATTAGATCAAGTCAAAAAACGATTTGAAATGAACAAAAGGAAACAAGAAGATAAGAAAAAAGAATATGACTTTGAAGAAAGAATGAAAGAATTACGAGAAGAGGTAAATAATGTTTGCTTATTTTCTCAACTTCTCCATTCAATTTGAATCTGAAAGCAACTAAATTTTTTTTTGTTGCTTAATCTAACACTTTTGCCCCAGCCCCTCAACCTCCGATGTCTTACTTTCTGGGTTGAGGTGTTTACTCGGTCCTAACCGAACTTAAGGGAATGGCCATAGGTCCCCTGAGCATCTGTGGATTATTCGACCGGTCCACTGGTTGCTTCCTGCCCACGTTGTGTTTGGTTTGATCCAGAAAGCAGAAGTGATGTTCATCCATTCACGGTCGACTGAAGATGTAGACACGGCTGGAGAGTCTGTGCTAAGAAATTTAGAATGCAGCAAAAAAAAAACAAAAAAAAAACAAATTAATATCTGCAGAAAGCCTGACAAACAACTATTCAATGATTGAATTGTTAATGTCTTTTATATAGCAGAAAAGAATAGTATAGAAAAGAAACAGGTTACAGAAAAGAAAAGTAATTGACGTAAAAACGCATACACTGGATTCTGGACAGAGAGAGAGAGTGTGTTATGATTAACTTGTTAAATCGTCTCAGAACGATATACGACTCTTGCGATGGGGGGAATAAGATTTCTGTGCGCCACTTAAAGTTTATAGTGGTGTTCCTCCTTAGCAGTAGTAACAGTAGTAGTAATATTCGTGGTAGCAGCAGCAGTACTTATATCAACAGCCCATGTTAGCGGATGCTTCATTCCAATTTCTGACATCACTTTCTCTCTTTGAGTCTCCAACTCGACTCTCCACTGTCTCTAGCTCAACTCTTGCCCGGGCTAATTCTCTTCTGTCTCTCTCTTCCGTCTGCCTCCTTTTCAGCATAACTACGCATTTATATAGAAAAATCCGGCTGGTTACAACTGAACCTTGGCTCTACTACTTCGCACGTGATTATCATGAGGGTTTTGGCTGTTTCAACCAAAATTATGTGAATTCTAAAGGTCCTCAGCTCTATTCCAAGTTTTAATCAATAAAAATTCGACCATTTCCATTGTCTGCTAATGACCCAGTTCCAATGGGTACAGCTCCTGCCCTAGATCAGATTTCCCATCAGTAAATGAAATTCTCTGATTAATTTTGCTAGTCCAAATCTACTCCAATTTCACTAAAAAAATATGTGTGTGTGTGTTTCCCAGACTCACTCTGTCACATAAAGAAACTGAAGAAACTTATCACATTGTTTTTTATCAATGCAAAATGTGTGATAAAAGGCTCAATGGGACTAAAAGTTTTTAAGAAATAGTTGACAATTGAGACACAGCATTGTTGTATTCATATGCAAATCTTCACCATATAAATGTAGCAGTTGATACAGCTAGAGGCTAAACTAATCTTAACCTTGGAGATGAAACTACTATTTTTAACTAATTCTGGATCGAGATAGTAAGACAACCCGGATAGAAAATGTTGAATCATTGGTACCATTTTTAACCTTCCTCAAGCATACTGAGCATGAGGAGTTGGATATTCTTATAAATTACACGTTGTCTGATGTATACAAACTGTTCATTGAATGTACAAACTTTGAAGAAGCTATTAAAATTCTAAAGAGAGCTTTCATCCAAGGAAAAAAGTGAGATATTCACCAGACATCTACTTGCAACCAGAACTCAACAGGCTGGAGAAACATTAGAACAATATCTTCAATCATTGCACATTTTGGCAAAGTACTGTAAATTCAATGTTACTGCACAAGTTTACAAAGAGGAAGCTGTTAGAAATACCTTTATTTCTGGGTTATCCACACCTCCTATTTGACAGAAACTTCTTGTAAACGGAAGCTGGAAAGCCATCTCGAAGTGTGAAAAGGGCTATCCTGAATTTTGAAGCCTATTCTGCTGATACCCAAACAAGTTATCGGAATCCCAGATTAATGCCTTAACTTCTCAGTAAGAGGAAAAGGAGAAGGACTAATAAGTTTTTTGCTGTGTTACTCATCATGGTCACAGTAACTACTGGGCTACAGGGAGTTTTGAAAACCACTGTAAAATGCCTCATGAACAAAAAAAAAAAATTACCACACTAGTAGATTCAGGAAGTAGTCGTAGTTTTATCGACACCAAGATATCTCAGTCATCAGGTTGGATGTTAAACCTACTAATTCTACCATCAACATGGCATCTTCTGACTTGTTATTGAAAACTGTAGGAAAATTTAAAGCAAATCTTACAGTGGGTATGGAAACTTACAAAAAATTTAATTTATTCTTAATGGATAATTTATATGCTGATGTGATCCTTGAACAAGACTTTCAGGGCCTGCACAAAAAAATAGAAATTTTATGAGGGCGACAGACCACCTCTAAAACTGTATCACCCTCTCCTCTGTTTGAAAATCTGTCACCTGACTGTAGAGCTATATCTGTGAAATCCCAAAGATACTCCAGTGTAGAGGAGTCATTTATAAGGAAGGAAATAAAGTACCTGTTGGATTCAGATATCATTGAGCCCAGTAGATCACAAGTGGTAGTAACAAAGGCCAAGAAACAAAAGAAAAAAAGGTTAGTCATAGATTATTCACAAATGATAAATCGTTTTACCTTAAAAGATGCCTATCCTGTATTACAATGATGCTTTCAGAAATAGCAAAGTATAGCCTGTACTCTAAACTAGATCTAAAAAGCATGTATCATCAAGTAAAGTAAACCTATGTAAAGAAGACCAGTGGTAAATTGTATAATTTTAAAAGGATGCAAATTGAGTGGCTGGGTTTCAAAGAATTTTGGATGAAATAATCGAAAAGGAAGTCCTAAAGGAAACATTCACGTATATATATAAATGCCGTGACCATTTGTGGTATTAATGAAAGAAAACATGACACTAACTTGGTAAGATTCAAAGAACTGATTGAAAAGTATGGTCTCTCCTTAAATGAGAATAAATAACGAAAATAAAATTTCTGGGCTGAAGTAATTAAAGGGACTGTTAGACCAGACCCTGAAAGGATGAGATCTCTGCAAGAGCCTCCCTCGTCCAGGAAATATAAAAGCTCAGAGGAGAATTGTCAAAATGTTTGCTTACTAGTCATTGGATCCCAAACTATACACTAAAAATTCATGCTCTAAATAACAACACTATATTCCCTTTACCTGCTAAAATAAAAGATTCCTTTGAATATCTAAAAAGGGGATTAGAAAGAGCTGTAGTACATACTCTAGATGAGGAAAAAACCCTGAAATTGGAACCAATGCTAACTACATGTGCTCAGATGTGGCTCTCATTCTGGTCTAGAACTCTAAACCCCTCTGAACAAAACTACTCCCCAACAGAGAAAGAAGCTAATTTGATCATCAAAGCAATCAGGGAATGGAGTCATTACCTGAAAGGTAAATATTTTATTCTTGTCATGGAGCAAGAAGCTCTATCCTATATTTTCAATAAGCATAAAGCTTTGAAGACTAAAATTCATTGCTAGCAAATTGAGCTTTCTGCTTACAAGTATGGTATCAGATATTGACTGGGCATTAAAAACGCATGTCTAGATATGTTAACGAAAGTACATTGCATTTCAGTCGTAAATATCGACCTCAAAAAAATTACATGTTAATCTGGAGTATCAAGAATGATGCACTTTTATCAGGTCGAGAAATTTGCCCTACTCAACAGAGGAAGTAAAGAGAATGACTGAAAAATGTAATGTGTATGCTGTAGAAAAAGCAAGATTTGTGAATGGAGGAGGCAAATTAATCAAAGCCACTCAAACTTTCGAAAGATTGAATATAGATTTCAAGAGATGCTTCCTTCAAATCAAGTAGGATACAAGTATTTAATGACCATCATTGATGAATATAGTCATTTCTCTTTTGCTTTTGTGTAGGGACATGCTGAATGAAACTGTATTGACTTGCTTAAATAAATTATTTTGCATATTTGATATGCCAAGTTATATACACTCTGATAGAGGACCTAGTTTTATGAGATTTTTTTAAGAGAAAGGAATAGCTACAAGTAGATTCCTTGTGTGAAACTCACAGGGAAATGGTTAAGTGGAGAGACTGAACGGAACTCTGTGGAAGATTATTTACTTAGCCTTATAATCAAGAGGTTCACTTGTGCATTAATGGGGAAACTGTATTATCTGATGCTCTCCACTCAATTCGTTCCTTACTGTTTACAGCCACGATTTGTAATCCTCATGAATGGATGCTTTCTTATCCGAGAAAATCTACCTTCAGAACATCTGTTCCTTCATAGCTGACGATTCCTGGGAAAGTTCTTATGAGAAACTATTTTCAGAACAAGTACGAACCTACTATATGAGAAGTTGAGCTGATTCAGGCAAATCCCGATTACACTGGTTAGGTTATCAAATGGAAAAGAAAGTACTGTTTCTCTACATCACCTTGCTCCTGCTGGGGAGGAAATGACAATATCCTAACCTGAATCAGTTAGAATAGTCTCAAATAGCCCTATACCGGATTAGGGTAGAAATAACATACCAAAATCAGAAGATACTGTGCCGCACTAGTATCTAGTGATTCAACTGAAGGAGCTGAACCATGAACCTCTAACTTCCCTAACCAAAACACATCTAGGTGAATAAATTTTCCACGATTGCAGAATCGTGGATGGAATTGTAAAATTATTAATCTTAAATGGAATTTGGGTTTTTAATGTAATTTTCAAGAATAAATCACAAATCGTTTGATTATATATATATATTTTTTTTAATTCTTTCAAAACTTAACTGTCTTTCTGATTTTGTTAATCAGTATAATAAATATAACAATAACAAAAATGTTTACATTAAAAAAAGAAAAGTGCGTTGTTGATTTTCTAAGAATATGTTGTCTAATCCATTTTTAAATATTTTAAAACTTTTCTAAGAAACTGTATGTAGCAAACGAGATGAAAGTCACAGCTCGGTCGTGGCCACTGAGATCATTTGCTAAAGTGGAAATGGAAGACAGACATTAATTGTTGTCAAAATTGGAGATAGACGAAGATCAAACCAATAAGTTTAACACAATTATTTTCTTTAAGGC